TGCATAGCATTGTGTTCTTGTTTTATTAATTTTTTTTTCACGCGATGGCATTTCCGCGTCGGGTGTAGAAGATTCCAAAGGACCTGCGCTCCATCAATACTGATCCAATTTCGTTCTCTGTATCTCAAACAGAAGAACTTGAAATTACCGTTGAAGTTAATTTTTAGAAACAACATCAAGCCTTTACAATCAATCGCTGGATGCCATGATTCAAATGTATCTATTTTGACCGTAACGACGGTTATTAAAAAAATTGAAAAGTTTGGAGAGAAAAACAGCCATGTAACTTTAAAGAAACGAATGGATTTCACTTTTTCCTTAGGATTACAAATATTCATACGGATAAAGTCTTCGAAATGACAACAAAATTCCAGAAAACTTTTAATCGGAGTTTTACTTTTTTCTCTTTTTTTTTGGAGGTGGGGGTGCATTTTTGTAACGATTTTGAAATTTCCGGTGCATTTGAGATGAATTTTTTTGTTCTTTACTTAATTAAGGGAAGGTGTTTAGTGCTTCTCAGAATGTGGGAGACTCAATGAATTTGTAATATTGACCTATTTACACAGTCAACTTAATAACTGCCAATGGATGCCATATGCACTGCTAAAAGCAACAAACCTCCCATTATGTTTTAAATTTTTGATAACTTTCAAAACCGTTTTTGCATCTTAAACAGTTAACTAGAAAAAATTGTTTCTTCGGTTTTCTTTGTCTTTTTAACTTTAATTTTATTTTTCCTCGTACTATCCTTAGGTAGTCAATATATAGAAACGAGATTTTATATTATTATAATGTTCTACACTCTACGAACGCAAAACGATCAATTCATATTAACAAAAACTCTGAATGGGTATGAGATTCATTAACCATTCACGGAAAACATCGGGGTTGTTAAGATAGAAAAAGCAATACGTACACCTCGTATTTATGTTGCTTAGGCTCAAAAATCTCTCCTCACTGAGTAAAGATGATCCAGCCCTTTAGTTTTAACTTCGTCTTATTGTAGATGATCGCATTTTGGGGCGGAGTTCATTTTAGCTCGATTTCATAGAATCAGCCATGCGACTTTTCAAGGTAATAGAGATAGCCTGGTTTTTCCCTTAGTTAACTCCCTATTTAGAGACTTGGGAAAAATAATAATTCTCCACTAACCTCCTAACCTGAGATGACCCTCCATGACCTGGAAATACCAGTTTTTAAATCGCAAGTTCTCCCGTTAAAATCCTCCTTTTGGTAATCATGGCCTGACGTAAAATATCAACCCATATCAGCTCCGGGCAATCGTCCTGAATCAAAGATTCGCTTTTTACTCTCGCCATGCCCTTTAAAAAGTGCCTTTCCTGGTAACCATGAAAAAATGAGCGACATGTTCCATACATTTGTCCTTAATTTGGACTGTGGTGTTCGAACTTTTTTTGGCGGCGAACGGATTTCGCCTTCTGCTCGTGCGGGTGGTTACGGAGGGAAGTAGGCAAAACATTATTAAAAATTTGTGAGTAATGGCTTTTTGTGAGCCTTTGCGAGTATAAAAAATTAACGCGTGCTGTCTAGTTTTTATGGCAGACAAACACACCTGTATAAATTGTGAATGAAATTCGACTCCAGTTCCTAACAGTTTTTTCAAACAAATAAAACTTGAAAGCAAACGAACACTAGGTCAAATTTTTTTGAAATGCCTGCTCAGATCATCAAACCGCATTGACAAATTTTGTCTTTGGTCTGGTTTTAGTGCATTTTGGTCATCTTTGATCTCTGTTTCGCGACGGGCTGTGTAATTGTGTACTCAAAGTGAAAAGTTTAGAATCATTTGCTCATAATAAATGATTAAAGGGCACCTGTTGTATAAGAAATTGTGAATAAATTTTGAAGGATACTATATGACAAGGGAGTGATCTCTGCTTAGTGAAACTAAACCCAATTTGACTTTTCTCTGCCCCCATTTAGAATAAGCCTCACAGGTGTATTAATGATTACTTCGATTTCGTGGCTTCCCATAGTCGGTTCATGTTGTTCTAATTCTTTCGCCGCAACGTATTATTGCTTATTAAATAATAATGATTTTCAATTCTTCGTTCTGCCGTGCTGAAGAATTATCTTCAATTTGAGAGATTTCAGGCCACTACACGAGCTTTTACGTTGTTGAAATCGCCCATCCACTTCTGGTCAAACTTCGCCTCAATCTTTCCTAATATCCCCAAGTTTTAACAGTGTAAAAATAAAATTTAATACAGATTCGTTAAATAGACATGCCTGTATATTTTTTTCATGTTTTCATTGTTTATCAACGAGACTGTAGCAAGATACGAATAAAGATTCATCGAAATATAATTACGCGCTTCCCGCTCGAGTTTCGCCGCTAAATAGATCTCTTAGTGTTAAAAAAAATTCCCTTGTTCCTCATTGTTAAAAATAGATAAAAGTTTCCACGGGAAGATTACGCGATTTCCATTGCACAATTAGTTTGCAAGAAACTTTTCCCTGAGTTATTTTCGATTCGATTTTGGGCTTGTAAGCCGTAAAGCAACGTCTTCAGTCATCCCAAAAATTGAAAAACCTAGATAAATTGAGCGTCAACGCCAAATATTCCGAAATTCTTCGTTTTCTTGCACAAAAATTGAAACTTGTTTGATCGAGACACATAAATTATCCATTTCTGCGTATTCTTCAATATTTTAACCAAAAAAATGAGGCTTCATCTCATCATGGTTAAACATTTTTCATTCGTCATAATAAAATAATATAAAGTCGCGTACAGTGTGTTTAATATGCATCGTCGTGTCAACAACACAGCTCACCTGGATAGGAAACTGAGGCATCTTTCTGTAATTTTTTTTTATACACAATAACATATTACTTGTTATATGCTTCTAACAAGGTCCATACACTAGATCTGTTACAACTGCATCCGTTCCTATCAAAAATAGTGCCAGATTTTTTTTAATTTTATTTCAGCAAATTTTATGCTACAAGTTCTGTCCTACAAACATGTCTGTGCAGTTTTGAAGACCCAGTTCTCATAGACTTTCTGCGATTCATGAGGAAAGTTTTAATGGAGGTAATTTGTTTAAAACGATATTTGTTAAACCTCTGCGTCTGAATTCGTTTTTTGCTGTCTCACATTAAACCAAAAACGACTTTGAATACTTGTGTTCTTAATGCCATTTAGTTCAAGTGATTTGAGTTTTTACCCATAGTGTGTAGTCAGGGAGCAAATGATCACGAGGAAAGATGGACTTACTCAGACGATTACGTTCGGTCAAAGAAATTTTTTTATTCTATTTTTGGACTGGAATTACTTGGAGCCGTCTGCTTTCACGCAGAGCCTTCTCTAGAAGTAAGTCAGACTAATTTAACGATGAAATGTTGGTCCGTGCTGCAGGATCGAAAAATACAGCAACGCTTATCAAGTTTTTCTCCCAGTCAATCCTGGTTTGAGTTTGAGCACGTTATATAGTAGACTACAAAAAGTAGCGGAAGTGAATCACACGCCTTTTGTGTACAACCGAACGAAACAGATTAAAATTTTCATTCCGCAAATAATGTGATTTTAGAATAGGTGTCTAAACGGGTTCTCGAAACTCATAAATTAGTGAAAACCATGGCTCTTAAGGATTGCCTCACGAATGAAAATAGGTAAATAAGACCATTAGAAAATAATGGTTGAATTCCTTTCGTTTGTAACAGACTTATTTGTGAAGGTCAGAAATTAAGTGCTCTCCGCTCGAATAAAACAGCCGCCAAACGGTGAAAATTGAAGACAAATATTCATTGGAAGATAAAAAGCGCGCGAAATGGTGTGGATTGCTCGGTCCCAGGACCCCGAAATGCAATGGCGCTCGTCGATTGTTATCAGAAGGGTGCTGCCATGTTTTTGTAATCTGACGAAACGTGAGGGTGACCGCCCATTTATTCCTCTGTTTTAGACGAAATTACATATAAAATCGACTTTTGAGTACTCTTCCGGTGATATGAAAGAATGTGGAATATTCTTAATTTTGGCCATCGTTAGTGCTAGAGGTCAAACGCTTCGAGCAAAAGGAGATCTTTAACTCCGGCTCACTATAATATTACAATCAGCCAGATTCTTATAGAATTATCTGTTTTATGGCTTACATGAATCGCATTGTGTTATCTCCGCCAAATTCTGTTGAAGCAAGGTACGGACAGCATAAAAATTGGTTGACTCACATCTTTCAATTGTTTAATGATAGCTTGGTGTTCAAATCTTGAGTGAAAAATGATCAGTCACGTGAACTTTTGGGCAAGTAAGGATCGATATCTTTTAAGTTTTAACATATTTCCGGTCGTTCCAAAAATAGGGAAATGAATACATCGTCATAAAAATTTTCTTTTAGTGTCTTTAAGCCTCATTCACAGGGCAGGAAATTTTCGTTCATGGGTAAATCCAAGAATTTTTTGATGGGGCGTTGGGGTTGGGAAGAGTGAAAACTATGATTCAGGAAGCCTTTTTTCAACGTTGGAGCTAAAAAAGAATCCAGAAATATTTCAAGACGACTTAACTTTAAATACTTCATATAGAGTAATAGAATTCGATCTTGTCGTTGTGAAATCTTGGTGTTGGACGAGAAGTAGGAAAAAGCCCCTCAATCAACTCTTAAGGACACCTCTACAAACTAGGGATCATCCACAGAAATGTTCGAAAGCTACTCGGGAGACTTTCGAACATCTTCAGATGTGACCGGGTTCGTAACGATAGCACTCTGAGGATAAAAATGTCTATTGGTAGGTCAAAGTTTAAAGCAACAACACTGCTAAATCACTGGTCACAATCGAGTAGGGAGAAAACAGACCATAACAGAAAAATGAAATGAAAAAAGGGGTAAAGATACGGAAATAAGTTGGAGAGACCCTTAATTTTAAAGGCAGAAAAACTGGAAGAGCGGTACGAAAATAAACAGGTGCGTAAGGCATGCCACCTTCATACCATCTGAGGGAAGATAAAGGGTCGAACTCTTCATGAACATGTTGTAAAGAATCAATACGCTGAAATTCTTTCTTGTTTAATGACCTTCGTCAATAAAATTACAAAAATGCCTTTCTAGCCTTTGCTTTAAACATAAAGCATTCTTTAAGCATGACCTAATTAACATACAGTTATATCCGGACATTAACAGTTGTAAAAACCTTATCACAAAAAAGATTCAAATTTGAATCCTACAAGGGCTTTGGAGAGAAAATCAACATATTCTTTAATAGACAAGAGGAAAAATAGACTTTGATTTCTTGGTTTTGCATCTGTTAAATGGTAATTCATGATTCTTCCCAACCTTTCAGCTGAATTTGAACTGTGATGAAGGTGCTCTGAGATAGACTTCAACACAGAATCACTTAGGGGTTAGCATAATTTAGCAGAAATTGTGAAAGAAGCGTTCATTACATTAAACAAAAAGGAACCCACTAAAAAGGCGGGGAAGAGAGAAGGGGAAGAGAATTGTAGCCTCTCCATTTAGTTACACTACTGTAGGAAAGTTCATTCTCAAATATGGTAGCCTTAAAGTTCATGGCTAACTAGTGTTGAGAAAATGGTGTTCCATCCAAACAATACCCATTGTTTGATCATCTCCTTACTCCTTATTTGCTTTCTGTGAGACAATTTGTCAACATGAGGAAAATATCTGTAATGATCCCTCCTATGAGAAAAGGGGTAACCCTTTTCATCAACATGCAATTTTCCTGCAATTCCCAGATGTTACCTCACAAACAAGATATGAGAACAAACAAACTTATCAGTCAAAAAGGTTATATCATGACATCACACCAAATTCTCCCATCTAGTTAACTAGAAAATATATGGATTTCAGTGGAGAGAATTAACCATTGTATCTTGGGCATTAAAAGCTCACACCAATGTAAACCAATTTGTCTATCATACCAGTAAAAGTTCATTGATACCCTGCAGCTCAGCTAAACAAATTAACGTTGCTAAGAACAAGTTTGTAACACTAATCATATGATAAGGTTTTCAAATTACTCTCAAAAATTTCAACAGTGACTTCAAGTACAAGCCAGAATCTGTAAATATATTTAGTATAAGTTACAAGAAAATTACCCCTCCTTAATTTACTATCACCATAGAGTACCAGACCATTCTTGGAGGGGTTTCGTGATATTTTGATGTTAGTGAAATAAAGACCCGTTTTTTTTAAATCTACAGGACATTACAGGGACTCTCTCCAAGTCGCTCCTGAGCCTCAGAAAGGCCAGAAATTAATGTGCTCTTCTAATGCCATAATTCTCAGCTACTATAACTTTGCTGTTGTTGCAAGGTCAAGAAAAATCTGAACAAAACTTCTGACAGTAACTATTGCAATCAATTACGCCGCTTCACAAACTCAAAATTTCTTAGAATTAAAATGCATATGGAAAGAGATTTTCACTGGATATTTTTGCTTAATCAAGGAAATCATTAAGAACAATAAACTACAAAACATAGCATATTCAAACAAAATTTGAACTCTGTAAATTTAAATCTGGCTTATTTTATAACAGCTTGATAACAATGCATATATGTCTACTGACGTTTAAATTTGAAGGTTGTGTGGGCATGCAAGTGATTGTAATTGTCACAAAATCAAAACAATAGTTAATTGACTTGTCTTTTAGACTGACACAGTTATCCTTCTTTTAAAGAAGTTGTCAGATTTAACCTAACTATAATCTACTGAATACACATATTCACAAAATATTAATAACTTAATCTTTTAGCGTTCATAAATGAACTGGAATGAAGTCTACTTTGAGTCATTAATATAAATGTAGTGGAAAATAATAAAACACAACCATTGTATTTGCATAAAAAAATTATTGTGATTTGGATAAGAAAACCTTGTTCCCCTAGGTAACACTATATGAGTTTCAAATATCATTCAACTGTTACAAATTATTGTTCAAAATGAAAAAGTGACCTTAGTTTTTGCAGAGGATTTTTTAAAACAATTATGGCAGTACTATTAGGAGCTCAATCATTTTGGTAGATTGATAAGTTAGATCAATGTTAGTATCTTAGCTCCTGTCCACCCTTCCCCCCTCCCCTAACCCTACAACAGTCAACTGATAACAACTTAGAATCTTGATGTTAGGTTTGGGGAGGGGTAGGTGGTGCACAGTTGCTCAGATACTGACATTGATCTGATAAGTGTAAAAGATTTTTGTTGATGTTAGGTACAAACTAAGTAAGATGTTTGAAAAACATATTTTTTTCTTTGATGAGTATGTCACCATAACATACTAAAACCATTGTAGACTAAGATAATAGAATTTCCCACTGAGGATTCAGACAACTAGCAAAATTTTCCCCTTCATTTTCTGCTAATAAAACTACGTCACCAAGAGTCAAAATCTTTTGATTTTGCTACATGTCAACAAAATAATTTTGCATGAAACAAATCAGTTTGTTATGTTACCAAAAAAATAACATATGATGAAAGAGGCTGTTATATTTCTCTTCTTACACAAACACAATTCACTAAATTTTAAAAAAATTCTTTCAAATGAGTAAAATTTAAATAGTCCTTTTGCAACAGTTGGTTACTTGACAAATGGCAAACTTCCTGTTGGAGTGTAGAAAGATCATGTTTCATTTAGCCAGAATACATATCCAAAGACAAAATTCCACTTAAAGTCTCTGATCAGTTGAAAATGTGGCAATTTTCCTTCAATGAAATTTCCAATTACCACATGCTACAAAAAAATTCAGATCATTGTATTTAAACCAAAAACTAAGGTTATGCGATAAACTGTTGCAAAAAGCCTTTTTAATTAACCTCAGGCATACCCACAGTTCATGAAATAATGTTGTTCTTCTAAAGGTCCAAAATAGTCCAGAGAGAAATGTTTGAATTATTTGATTCTTCAGATTGTTTGTTAAAATGATGATGTTAAGGGAAAAAAATTCAACACAAACAGAAGAAACTCTGTGAATTAATAAGGATAATCAACATATTCTGGTGAATGATTGTCATTAACTCTCTAGCTGTTACTTTCTAAATTAATTTTTTCCTCTCCCTCTTTACTTCATTTCAATACTGTACATGCTCATCTAAAAAAATACACATCATCTTTACAAATAAAAACCACTTGATCCTACTTTGCAGCACTATTAATGTATAACTTTTTTCAATAACTTAATAAGTAAATAATATATACAACATTAATAAAAGCATGATTTACAATAAATTAAAATTATGAAATAACTCCTCTCACCTGGTAAAAAAACTCACATTGTGCTTTCACATGATATGAAAAAAGATTCTTAAAGAATGAAGTGGTGGTGCAATCAATTAATTTTTTTCTCCTCTTTATCCTCCTCTTCAGCATCTGGGAACTCATCTGAGTCAAGTCTTGGCTTCTTGGCAGTGGTTTCGTCTTCATTATCTACCTCAATTTCTGACTTTATTTTAGCTAGTGAAAAGGTACGGAAACAGGGGGACTCACCCTCAGTAAGTTCTGCATCTCTATTGAATGTTGGTGGGGGAGAGGAATTTTCCTGTGAAGCTGAATTGCTGGGTGATTCCTCATCTGGTGCAGGAGTAAATAAATCAAAATCAAGTGATTTTGCATCAAGCGATTTTCTTTTTCCTCCCTCAGAGCTGGTTGGTGAACAAGATCCAAGATCTCGCAAAAGTTTACCAGGCTCCAGTGATTCTCTTTGCCTTGCTCTTCGCTCACTCATCATCATCAATCTTCGGCTTGCTGTGAACATATTGAGGTTTTCTTCCAATGCAGGCTTCTCCTGTCGCCTGCTGGAAGGGTCGCCAAGTAACAAAAGCTCACCTCTAGATGGAGGTCGATCAAGAGCTTCTCCTTCCACTGGCTCAAGAATGTTTAGTGAACTTGTGAGAGGCCCAGGAGGAATATCGAGGTCTTGACCATACAAGCTGACTTCAGAGCTACGTCTGGAGCTCAAACCTGATTCCCTTTCTTCTCCTCCATATGAAGTAGTATTATCTAAGGAGAACCTTTCACTGCTAACTGGTGCTAGGATGGGGGAGTGACCATTGGAAGTGATATTTTCATTATCACTTGCAGTTGAAATCTTTTTCTTTAGACTACTGTCAACAGGAGGACTTGCATCTTCAGGTGGACTGGGGTTCTCAACATCAATAACATCTGAGCTTTTACTACTTTTACTCTTCTCTGATGGATCTTGGTCATCTGCGAGACTTGTTATTGTACATGAAGATGGTACAGGGCTAGTTCTAAGATGTGCCCTTTTAAGTTTGGAGGAAGCTGGCCCTGAGGATGACTCCAGCTTGTTTGTTAAATCCTCTATATAGGTGTCACTCCTTCGAAGTGCCCTTCTAAGCTGTTGAACCTCACGTTCATACTGACCCACCTTTGTCTGAAGACCAGCCATTGTGTAATGACTGTACCTTAAGTAGAAAGAACAACATACATTAATTTTTCTAAAAAAAGCCTCCAATCAAGCATGCATGGTGTCCATGACCCCCTCCCTCTATTTTTGTTTGTTTGTTTTTTTTGTTAAATGACCAAAATTCTGGAAGACATGCGGCCAGCCACAACCACTGTCCTTTCTCAAGGGAAGAAGAGATAGGACTTTGGGAATAAGGAGGGTTGAAAGTCAGTTGATGGTGAAAAATTATTCACAGAAATGGAGGTCAATAGTGGTGAATATTTACCAAGCCCTGAAGCAGCAAAGCAAAGCAAATATCAAAGCACCACCTTTGCTGACACTGTGGTAAATTATTGTTTTAATGTAAACCACACAGAAACCAAAAAAATTATTTTATCATATTTCAATATACCAGAAAATGGTCTGGAACTAAATTGTTGACCCATTATTTTGTCCCTTGAGCTGCTCAGAGATGAAAAGTACCAGCTCATCATGTCTGAACCAGCCAATCAGTTTGTGAAAAAAGCATTATTCACCTGCACAGTACATACTAATGAACATCATCTTATGATTGAGACAGTGCAGTTCAATAGGTCTAATCAACTAATTCAATTCCTTTATCACTGGTCCTGTCATGTCTGAAATTAAATACTGGTGGTATCCAACCAGGCATTCTCCAGAATAATATTGGGGACTAGTAAGGACTAATGTTTACTCTGACAGTAGGTACTACTGTTTACTCTGACTATCAATTTAGATGGCTATCAATATGGAAGATCTCCCTCAGAGAAATAATTGTAAATATACAGAATATATAACAGGAATTGCTGCATTTTCAGTTTGCACTAAAATAATTTCAACCTGAAAGCTGCTGTGAATTAGCAGATTGTTCTTATTAACCCTTCAAGAAAATAATCTTAAGGGTACAATCCCAATAACTCAAACCTTCAAGGGAAATTGAAAAAGGTCTGAGTTATCAGGAGTTCAAGCAAAGGACCAGAAATAAGGGAGAACTGTATTTACTGTATACTATGTTTAGACAGTATACATTTAACTATAGAGAAGTCGAGTGAAAATGTAACACTAAACTACTACAGAGGTGGTTAGACATAGTTTGAGTTATTAAGGCTTAGAATATGTGGAGAATACACCTGAAGGGAAACAAAACTTGCTTCCAGTTAGCGGGTGGTTTGAGTTATCTAGGGTAAAATTGTAGTAATATATATGACAGAAATCCAGGGGAAATCAGTTTTGGTTTGAGTTAGCAGGAAGTTGGAATTATTGAGGGTTCAAGTTACTAAGGGTAAAACCACAGTAACTGTATGACAAAATTAGGGTGGAATAGGCTTTGGTTTGAGTTAGTGAGAGGTTTGAGTTAGCAAGGGTTCAGGTTATCAGAATTGGTCTTTACAAGTTATAGATGCCAATCTCTCTAGTACCAAGTAGAAGCAAATCACAAGTTGAAACTTCTGACTTTAAGAGAAGTTTAAAGTTATTTTGGGGAGTTCAACATACCAGACAATTGTCAATTTTGCCATTTGATATTAATTTTAACTGCAGCTAAGACTTGTTGTTAATTGACATAACTTTCATAATCTTAAACTAAAAGAAATTTTCTGAAAATTTAAAAATCCAAAGATTCTACATGTAAGAAAACTGTACCTATTGAGTTTGCCACAGCAAATGTGTCATTTGTCTAAATAAAATCAGGGTCTCAAAATAACTATCAAACACTTTGGTATTACCTTGCACAGAATACTTTTTGAGTATTTAGCATTAATCATAACCATTACAATTTCCTCAAATGTGATTGCTGCAGTAGCTGCTTTATTTTTCACTAATCATTCTGTAGGGTTGTAACCGGACACCTGTTGTCGGACAGCAGAAGTAGCCAATCAAACCTAGTCCTTTCAGTCAAATCCACCAATCACAGAATTGATCACAATAACCAAAGCAACAAACACTTATCCTAAGAGAGTTGCGGAATTTTTTTTACTTAGACATTATCTCTTCTGCACATATTTGTCCTAAACGTATTTGTTGTTTCTGGAAATTGTAACAGTTATGATTAATTGGTAACTCAATTAAGCATCCTCCTTCCAATAAGCATCCCTCCTTTTTGCCAAACCATTAAATAAATGCTGTGGTGCTTATTTGAGGAAATACGGTAACCATATTCATTTGCAGTCTTAATTTCTAAGCAATTTTTGATAAGCAAATGTTACTTTGTGCAATGGAGTAATTTACCTCTAGTCTTGTAATTATTCTCAGTGGGGCAGAATTTTAAGTCCTTTAATCTGATAACCTAAGGCTTATTGATTACCAATCTTGATTTCTGAGCCATTCTTGTTAAGCAAATGTTACTTGGTGAAGTGGGTGAGTGACCAAGACAGAATTTCTCCTTACAATATCAATACAATATCAACCAGATAAGTGATGAGAATAAACTAAGAAAAATATCAATTTGGGGATAATTAGTTGATTTAATACTAAATTCTCTGAACTTACATTATAAGAATTGTATGGTTGACAGTAAAGAGAATTACAAATTTGATTTGGGAGTTAAAGGGTGAAGGACACAATTTACAATTATTTACAGCATTACTAAAAAGTGACGTGTTCATTAAGGTCAGTGATAATATGAAGAGTATCATGTAACATTCATCAATATAGGCACATCTCTTTAATTACAGAAGGAAAAATGAAATATATCTCTAAAATTTATTGTCTAAATCATAATTACACATAATCAGCTGGAGATTAAGTTTTGCCCATGGGGATGTTATATTTCAAAACAAATTTAGGTCAAAAGTTTCAAATTTATTTGTTCTGTTCTTATTTATGTTGACAAATTATCATAATTCCTAGACAAAAGTAAATTCACATCAATCTAGTTTTGGAAAATTATCACCCAACTTTGATTTTTCCTACAATTTAGATGTTTTATTCAATTAACTTCAGATCACATGTTAGTTTGTGAAAAAACATGCTCAACTTTCAAATTGTCAAATATAGCATTCTAACAAATATTAACCTTTTACCTACAAGTAGTGACTAACATGAAACTTCTCCCTATAATATCCATACATTATTCAGCAAACAGGTAATGAGAATATTCAAACTTATCAGGTAGAAGTTGTTATCTAAATCTTACTTCAAATTCTTGTAACTAATTTACAAGGAAACATGTAGCAGCCAGAAGGGAGAATTAAGAATCAGAACCTGGGGGTTAAAAGGTTGATAATTAAAAGCACAAATAGCCTTAATCACAGTTCATTCATTTATTACTTACCTCTGAGGAGACTTTGAAAATTTGGGTTCTTCTTTGAGACGTGAATTTTCCCTAACTAGAGTCCTATTTTCTTCCTGTAATCTCTTGTTATCCTGAGAAAGGAATTGTTAAGGTTTAATATTAGGTGAATTTTTCATGATCTACTTGGTTTTTGTGCATTTACCAGTAATTCTTATACATCATATTTACAAGTGTTAATGTGGTTTTGTAGAGAAGGTAATTAATTTAAATACTTTCTCTTCAAGACCACCCTTGAAAGCAAAACAAATAATGAAATAAAATTAATTAATTAATCAGACCCTCTAACACTTTGGGGCTGCACTTTCACTTTCAAATGTAGTTAACAACCAGAAGAAACCAAGACATAATTTCTCCTTACAATAACAAAATAATATCAGACAAGCAATTGATGAGAACAAAGGATTGATTATAAAACTATAAATTAGGGGCTTATTAGTTAATCCAAAACTAAATTCTCCAGATTACCATCTTAAGAATTGTATGGCAGGCAATAATGAGAAATACTGATGAAACCTTGTGTGAGAAAAGGTTAATTTTAACTATGTCTGCAATGAGGAGAGGCAGGAATTATTAACCCTTGAACCCCAAAGAGTAACAAGCATCTAGATTCTCCTTACAATATCACCCCTGAATAAAACAGTAAGGTCATGAGAATGAAGGAAATGACCACCAACTAAAGAAGCTCTGGGTTGTTTGACAAATTCTCCATATCAGTATCTCAGGAAATGTATAAAGAACAGTATGGAGAATATGAAAACTGATGTTAGGGTGTAAAGGGTTAAAGGATAAAGCCAAAAGGTGACAGGGTCTTATCTTGCAAACTTGATTGAACAATAATCACAAGACTAATTAGTGACCTAAACCCTTTAACTCCCAATTGTCCTTACTGTCTTCTATACAATTCTTTTGATGTTAGTTTGGAGAATTTGGTGTTGGATCAACTCCCCTAATTGATATTTTATATTGTATTGATATTGTAAGGAGAAATTCTGTCTTGGTCACTCATGGGAGTTTAAGGGTTAATAACAGCAAATAATTCATTGTACAATAGTCCACAATTTCTGTTAAACATCACTTAGCCTCCCCTTAAGTGATCAGCTTAAGACACAAAGTGTGTCTTAATTTCATCCTCCTGGTTCCCAAACTGACACAGCACACAAGTTGTTATCAGCTAAGTTTATAAGCTGACAGGCAAATGCAGAGAGTGTAAAAGGGTAAAACTATATGATGACAGATCCTAATTTCTAAACCTGATTGACAAATAATCATAACCATTGATCCCAACATGTACAAACTAACAGTTATGTTTCTGTGGTTACTAAAACATAACTATGTATGTGATACATTTTCTGAACAGCATGCATGCATTGGTCTGTTACTTTTGCAATTCCTATGGTGTTAGTAACTTTTGGTCATACTGGTGTGCTGTAAAGTAAGCTTAATGTGCATTAATGGTGTATATTATTTTGCCTTTAGTCCTGTAACTCCCATGAGTGACCAAAACAGAATTTCTCCTCACAACATCAATACAATATGGAGCAGTTATAGGATGAGAATAAAGAAAAACATCAATTTTGGGACTATCAGTTGCTCCAATACCAATAAAAAATTCAGTTCTGGGTAATGATGGGTATAGTTGAGTTTAGTTGGAATCACTCTCCTTACTATTATGCCATTGGTAAGCTTTCTTTAAGTAACCATGGGAACAGTAATGGCACTGTTAAAGTACCTCTTTAATTTTGTCCATATCACCTCGCAGATTTTCATAAGTGTAGCTTGCTTCTTGTAATCTGGTGGTAAGTTTTACCAACATGTCAATGTCTAGTTTTCCAGTACCACCATCATCTTTGTCACGATGTCTGTTGGTGAAATCCATAGACGCCATTGTTCGCTCTCTTTCAATCATCTTTTCATGAAGTTGCTTGTTTTCAGCTTTTAGACGATCGACAGTGTTTTGGAGAGACTTGACTTCATCCTAAACAATAATATAGAAGACTTTTGCTTTCAAATATGAACGTTAGCACTTTCCATCATACAACTACATGATAGGAATTTGTATTTTGGGATTTGCCTCTTGCGGAGGCAGTATGGCTGGGTTGGTTAGGACATTGGACTTGTAATCTGGTGGTCCTGGATTCAAGCCCTCCACCCTGCTACTCATTGGATTTGGTGGTCCCCCCCACCTCCCCAAGTTCATCTCCTCAGCTGCGCGCTGTGTAAACAGCCAACTGGTCTGCCTCCTTCCAGTTATGATTTTCAAGAACTTTATGTTTCATTCAAATATTTGTTTCTCTCTTTGCGCATAAGAGCATATGTAAATGAATATATACATATTGTAAAAATTAAATTTATTGTTATTATTATAACGCCTATTTTGTGACCCACTACACCTCACAGACCTTGCATTCACTCTTTTTGTTATCTCTGACTGATATTAACTAAAAGCTGTTGCTTGTCCCTAATAACTTAATTTCCTGCTGACGGGAAGTTGTTTTGGTTTCCATCCCTGATGGTTACCCAAGATAATTTGAACTGTAATATATTACAAATTTGTGACAAGTCAAAACTGATAAAACACAGAAGGCCATATCATTGCGTTATTTGTGAGGCAACTATATAAAGCACATGAATGCAGCACTAGCAGCTTAACAAAGCTGTCTTTGAAACAGGTCGCAATACACATCCTCCAAGCTGCAACCATTTTTTTTTTAATTTTGATAACTTAATTTCCTGCTTTAGGATCCAGATGGCCACTTGCACACATCAGTAGAAGCAGACTGTTGTGTCATTGTTACTAGTGTTTATGGTCTAAAGTTCAACTGACATGAGAATTTTCCTGAAATATTCTTAATTATTCATCATTCTTTCTTGCAAATGTTGCCTCTATCTCAATGGTTAGTCCTGTAAAAGTCTTGAAATGTTTCATGAATCTCCAAAAATTAAATTTAATGCAGACCAGGCCATTAAACTTTCATTTCTGGCGACCAATTAAAAAATTCTTGGTTGTCACATGGCAACTTTGAAAAAGGCTTGAACATGGAACCCTGGAAAAGTACTAGGACTTCTCTAGTCAAACTACTTTGAATTACGCTTCATAAGATGGAAAAATTTTAATGAGGATTGTGTTGCTCCATTTTCACTCATGATGATAAAATTTGATTTAAGCATTCATTGTATCTACCAAAATACAACAAACACCTTTCAACCCTGATTTCCGGCAATTTGGTCTCATCTCTTGATAACTTGGAACTTCTCAGAAGTCGAACCTTTATCAATTTGTGAGTTATCAGGAGTCAGTGGTACTCAATTTTCAGAAACAACTCTGCGACCACATAGGGCAGCACATGTTTACTTCTTATCTTGGAATGGCAGGCCAAGGACCTAACTTTTATCACTGTTCCCCTACTCTACAGCAAAAATATAGACTCACGCAAACAGTTCACCAAATTATACTGAGTCATAGTTGCATGTGAAGGAGAGTAATTAACAAAGAGGCTTGCATGCAACTTGATTGTTATTGGGTTGATAGCGACTTTCAGGGATGTCAACAAAACAGTTGACCAAGCTAGACTAAGAATACATTTTGCGTGCAGGAATGCAACAACTTAAGGAGGCAACGAGATTGTAAGCAGGCTTATGGTCAACTCAAGGGATGTCAATGAAAGCCAGTTATGGTGTTTTGTCGAGTTAATAAGTCCTCTAAGAGCTGTCTGTTGTAATTTTAGTGCATTAAGCTGTTTCAACCTCTATGGTGTTCACAATTGTCTATTCCTTGAATGGTGCCTATTGAGCAAAAAAAAAAAAAAAAGATTGAAAACTCCGCCCTGAAATAATGGGGAGTAAAGATGTCACAGCCGCGACGCCTGGAAAAATATCATATCAGGACTGAACTCTCTTCTCTCTGTGAATTTTGGCAGTGGCTTAATGTATTCACTGTCTCTGGCAGTTCAAAATTTCCCCTGCGGCATAACACGTGAAAGGCGGTGATGATTTCAAAGCGGCAACGTGACTAAACTGCCATTTGCGGTTTTTATTCTCTTGGCAATTATTCACTATTGTTATATATAAGACAGCAGATAGATTTTCAAAGTTTTGACATGCATTCATCAATCTAATGTCCTTTCTGTTAAAATCTCCTGTTTGGTTAGTTGCCTGTTGCCATCATTGCGTTCTTATGCTAATATCAGACATTTTCACAGTCTAAGCAACATAGCAAACTCCCACACACATTAACATTGATCGACATATTTCTTTGTTCATTGATGGAAATCAGAAATTACCATCTTCTTTAATCTATCAACACAAAAGAGGCTTTGAAAATCACACATTCAAAGAGAACGCAGGACGCTAGACACACACGAATCTAGTATACTAAAGGCTTAGTGCAATAAGGTCACTATAGCCAAGTTGGTAGCACATCTGACCAAGTTATTGGATGGTCTAAAGTTTGACATCTTGCGGGGATCTCACATATGCTTTATGTTCGTGACAGATAAGTAACATCTTTCTTTGGTATCACGAGTTGTGGTCGTGGACAAACAACCTTTATACCGACTTGCTTAAAATCTCCTTGGAAACCGCCCTATTTCAATCATAGATTAAACATTGGCGGATGGCATCAGAATATAATAGTACGGTTTTGGACACAAAGAAAAAGCATCAGCACTGCTTACAGCTACTTTAAGTGCTGCGTAAGATCCTTGAAATTTCAACTGTAATACCTTTCAAGTGACCACATCACGGTTCAAACAACATGCTATTAAACATTTAGTATAATGAAAAGAACACTCCTAGGTTTAATGGAAACAATTGGTTGTCACCCTTAAGTGGTCATATGAGACAAACAACTCACAACAAAAACACGCTGTCTAACATGCACATGTAGAATGCATACTACCAGAAATAGTAATATCTTAAATCACTTGGCACTAAGCCAACGCCTGCTAGGGAAGTAACTCACAAGAAATGAAAGAATCCCTGGATCGCAATGGCACGCAATGGGTTTTAACTAAAATATTAATAGAACAACAATGTTTTTTTTCTTCTCATGTTGCCGCAGGTATGTTAATACCATTCATATTAGGGGATGACCCTTCTAATTTTTGAAGTACAAATTATTCAAAACTGCACAAAGATTTCCATCAAAAAGAGTACAAAGGGTGACATTTTGTCTGGTACTGGTTTACATTCATTTTTGGCCAAAGGATGTTGTTTCAGATGACGCCTACGCTTGTGTATTACAATAATAAAAACTTTTTAAAGATGGTGAAAGGCGACAAGTTACAAAATGATAATACTTCCATTGTTTCTTTGAGGATAAATATATTGTACTGCAGGTTTAGGAAACACTTGTTGTAGTAATAAAGGGAACCTACAAGAGATTGAACCAATTCACAAGGAACTTCTAACACCAACTCTCTAAGTTCAGAAGAATTATAGGATTAAAAGGTGTTTCACCCGACATCGTCTTTCCGTGACAACTACATCTTGGTCCCCTCCTTAGTGTATAATCGTTTTCCGGCATCAAACTTAACAATCACCAAAATTGATTCAACCCCATGATTTTGGCATTTCCTGTCTCGTGTCTTACGGGATGACTTGATTTAAATATGCATTTCTATTAGATTAACTATCAAGCTAGTACTAACAATAACAGATCAAAGTCTGCTTTGTAAAAGACACATATAGGTGTTTAGCATCAAAACGTACAGTGACTGTGCTATGACCTCTAACAACATAGCTGAGATATTTCATTGAATGGGATATTGCATGTGTATACCAATGTGAAAAAGCATGAAACACCATCCATGTTTTCTTAACAGTGGTAAATATAAATCAGTGAAATCACGACAGCGTGATATTTCTATATGGCCATAGGAATTAACACATGCGGTTTGCATGCAAGTAATTCTTTGTTTACCTCATATTCTTGCCTTATTAAGTCAAGTCTTGTACGTCTTAAGTCTGCCCTTGTTACAGCATCATTACTCACTGGCAAATCAATACTTCCTAGTGAAAAATAGTATAAAACACAAAATATTTTCTTTCTCTAAATATATTATTTCTCTAAAAACACTACGCACAGCTTAATTTAATATTGTGAAGAGAACGTTCATCAAACAGTAAAAAACTGTCTGAGAGTGTCTGAAAAGAACGTAAATAGTACTTGGTCACCCGGAGTTGCTACAGGAACAGCACAATTAAATCATTGTTATTCTAATTTATTCATGTCTGGTTTGAGGCATCACAAAGTGTTTTATAGCATATTGTGCAACAGAAACCGACAGCTTGTGGTTAAGGAAAATAAGAGGGACCATCCAATTGAAACGATCTCCCAGAGCCTTGAAAAGCTTTTGCCACGTAAACAATGCACCTCATTGGTCAGCTAGATTGACATCGCAATACACAATTGATTCAGATAAATTGCAGGTTACAGAGGTCATTTGATAAATTGCCTTGCTCACGTCTGTTCGATGGTTCACACAAAGGAGGTATGAAAAGCATGTGCTAGCTCAGACGGTCACTGACCCACAAGTCCGGAGCCATATTGTGCATGCAAGTCAAGGGGCAGGACTTTAGAGCTTAACTTTGAGTAAATGCAAAAATACCCGTATCATGTTTTGAGGGACTACACCTGAACACAAATAAACATTTCCTTTGTTTCACTGCTACCCGGGACAACTTCAAAATCTATTCTCCCTGATGAATTTTCCTCGTTTTGTGCGTTTAGTGATTCAACTGAACCAACAGATGAACCAGACAAAGCATCTTCCAATCGCTCACAAGAATTGTTAACAAATTAAACGCCATCCTTTCAGAATCTAATTAAGATCTAGAATTTCTTCGGCCAAAGAAAGGCTCGATCATTATTTCCTGAATGTAATTACGTCCTTGAAACATCGTAACCCGGCCGGCGTTGAAGACAGCAATAGTCAAGCATAATTCCCTTTTAACTTCCCCTCTAACTTAACCTTGGAACGTCGCCCTCTCTAAAAGCGCAATGCTAGTTCAACTAGAATCACGGCGCTTGGCGAAAGTTCTTACCAAGAATTTTCTTGCAGGGCTTCTCCGTTGTTATCGGCGTTCGGCACGTTGGGCAGAATGAGTGTGTTCGTAGCCACAAATCCATACAGTTTGAGCAAAACACATGTTGGTTAGGACAAACTACAGGCTCTCTAACCTGAATATAAACCACACATGGAAGGTTAGATCATGTACATTCGAACTGACATATTCTTCGACCATGCGCGCGCGAAATGACAAACATCACACGACATAAAGTGTCACTAACAGCGAGGTTCTTACCTTCCCTAGACATATCTGGCACGAAATCGGAAGAGTCATGGAGAGGGAAGTTGAAGAAACGGAGACCTTTTTGTTCGCCATGAGTGTTTATGCTTCGTCCGGTGTCATGCCATATGATCTATTGGAGAGCGCGTTTAACTGTTTAAACCGTGACATCCTGGGTCTCCTCTCCTTGACACTGGTGAACAGCGGACGCATTCGAAGTGCATGCTCAGTAAACTGTGGAATCCAACATGGCGGCAATTTCAAGAGCGACAGGAATTGATGACTGGTGGAAAAGTCTTCTTGTTTTCTCTGTATTGCTGAAATCTCTCCTGATACCTGCGTAGTACCATTCACGTTACCATTGTCAATTTGTTGAATGTTGATCATCGATATGTAAACTTGTAAAGGTTATTTTCAAATATCATTTTGTGTTTGAGCATTAGCAAAACGACTTAATCGTTATTATTATTCTTTATTTCAGCTGTTAAAATTTATCAGGGGGTGGCCATCTAATTTCGATCCTTCTTTAAGCTGCCATAATTTGCATTCGCTTTGACATTTATTGTTTATAATGTAGAGCTTAATTTAATCTTGCTTATACCAGTGCAAAGATTGCATGTGATCAAACTAAATTCGACTTGAAGAATGCTGATATTTTTGTTATCAGCTCAGCCAACGCACATCATTGCGAACTGCTTATATAGTCTCATTAACAGATTAACTTGAAACAAAGTACTGTTGCAAAAGTATATCTTTGCTTTTTGATACCGAATCTTCTCTGTGTTTTGGCGAGCACTTCAGATGACAGTAGTTGTAAAAATCAATTTTCACCGGTTGAACATAATGGTTTGGGGCATAGAATATTGTCTGTGTCAGGTTAGCACTTAATTCTTATGTCTGAGAGGTAATTAGAAACGTCTGATTACATAACATGAGAGGTGACGAGACAACAATACGACATTATATTGAGCCTGTTGACATTACAAGAGAGCTTATCATCAAATCTTCTTATTAGGCTCTGTTTTTAATGGTGCTTAAATTTGTCAAATGGTAAGTTACAGGTTTTAATTTGTGTTGTTCCATCTGCAGTTCAAAAATGTAATTCGATATAATAAATAAAGAGAACATCAGAGTTCAGTTGCATTTAAATTTATTTGGAGTGGAATTAAGTGACATGTCTTTGTGGTGTTTTGTTTGAATGGATTTTTTGCAGCCATTCCAGTGATTTTGAGGTGCACAGAAATTGGCTTGCCATTACAAACAGTTTGCCCTTGTCAAGATGGTATTATGAGGTATGGTATGTGCACGCAACCCTTGCTAGTCACACTAATATTGTAGTTATAGTAGAGATAAAAACTATTGCAAGGATAATAATAATAATAATGATAGCAGTAATAATGCCGACAATGACGTTTTATAAGAATGTATATTTTTGACAAGTTGCTGAATAGCCCATGGAAGGTTTAGCATAAGATCTTGTTGGCTGAGAGTTTAGGGCAAGCTGGGATCTTAATAAAGTTGTTATCCAATCTCAGAGCACCTCCTCTGCCCAGGATTATAAACTGGGTCAAAAAACCTACTGTTTTGTTGGTTGCTCTTGGCTAACTTTATGCTTATCAAGGGTAAACTGACTTTAAATGGCTAAACTGTGAAACATTATTTGGTAATTTGGTTATGATAATAGTCTGCATTGTGAAAGTTTGTCCCAAAAATTCAATCAGGTGTTGTTAATCCTCTTATTATGACTCAAAGTTCTTATTTCAATGTGTGATGCGCTTATTCCAAGGGTTCACATATTTGAGGGCCTTGATATTTAATCATTTTTTCCACGCAATTAGCTACATGCAGCTATAATCACTTTTCTTCTCACAATGCTTTATTTGAATACAGAAAATACAATAAGCTGTCTTTATATTCAAAGTTGATCCTTAAGTTTAATAGCAGCACAATACATCGACTTATTTTTCAAAACTTAATGTGTTTACTAAGTGGAAACAAGTTTGGTGTGAAAGTCCAGTGATAAAACATAACCAATACTTTACATGGTTGTCGTAGTAACTAGAGTTTTTATAAATCAGGCACACATGTTTATTCAATTTTCAGATTATCAACATTACATTGGCTGGCGCACAAATAGACAGAGCCAGTCTAAAGCAGTGGTGAATTAAGCATGAGATAGCTAACTATACTCTCTAAGCTAACTGTCTAAACTAAACTGGATTCAGTTTAGGGAAATACTTACAACTGAACAAATTTTATTATCAAGAAATACATCGCAAAGGAAATTGTGATATTATTGTTTACAATTTGTTACTTCTATTATACTTGTTTGAGAATCGAAGTAATTGTCTTTGTCTGCCAGGATGCCAAATGAAATATCATGGAGTTTAGTCCAAAAGATTTCTTGGTTAGTAGGTCTTAGGCTGGCTAATAACTCATTCCACAGCTTGACACCCATGTCAGAAAAATGAGTTTTGCATTTTGAGTTCAAATTTTTTGAACAAATACATTTTTGGTAGAGGAAGATTGCGTGTTTTGCGAATGAATGCAATATGTACTCTCTCATCCAAATGCGTTTGATTTGTTTGCCAATACTTGTCATTTAGTTGATATAGTGCATAGTTTCTTGTTCTTATTGTCCATATAAGTTTTTGATAGTGCCTGAGTTACATCTTCTCTAAGATTTTCATTGAATTTGATACACCACAGATTGTAATTTTGTTTTATTTGGTTTGGTTGTTCGGTTTTATTTTGTGGTTAGATATTTGTCTTTATTTGATCCCAGTTGAATCATACCTTTGTACATATTCATTTGGTTTAAAAGATATCTCAGCATTCAATATGGTTGTAGCATTCATCTACAATTATCTCGGTACTTGTCCAGGGAAGTTAGGGAAGAGGAAGGAAGAAAGCATCCATTTTAACTTTTTGCCGATAGGAAGGTAGGACAGTTTTCTCTTCTATTACAAGCATGAAAGATTAAAAGAAATTTTCAAGCAGGTAGAGCAGTCTTTTTCCTGTTGACTTATTCCAAATTTCAATTTGTCTGGCGGTAATAAGAGATACTACAAGAAATAAATTTTTTCAATTACTGCCTGAAAAGGAGAACACTGGAAGGGGATGCTTGTTCAAGGAGTCAACATGTCCCAGTTACCTCTGTATACAAGAAAGGAAACTTGATCTTGGCAAAAGGCATCACAAAGTAACAAGCAGTGATGATCCCACAAAATATCATCCTCCTCCATTATTATTGATTATTTTTTCTGGAACTTGTAGAAAACTTCAGAGTGGACTCTGGATTATCCGCCGCTATTTGCCTGGTTTGAGTATTTGTTATCACAAGTAGCTGCCTTGGTCGATCCTAGGATGGTGATTATAAGCAAGTTACCTTATACAAGTCTATCAACTGTACTGTTCCAAAGAGGATCTGTTATGTTTACAGACCTGCTGTTGGCTTACGCTGTGAAGGAGTGAGTCACTTTTAATGCTTTCAAGTTTTTTGCTAGTTTGTCCTGATTATTCAAAAAGAGCTTTTACGTAGTAAATTGACTTAATCAATGCAGTTATACACAATCAAGTATCACAAAATACCATGCGCTACTCATTTGATCTTTTGATCTTTTGTGTTGCCATGTCTTTCTTGCCATCGCTGTTACTGCTGTAGTTTGCTTAGGGTCCCTTTCAGTGCATGTGAAAACCATGCCTTTCTTTAAAAACTGGTTTGGACACGTCAGATTGTTCAACTCTGAAGATACCAAGACAGAATGATGTGAGTGAGTGTTTTGTCAAGTGTACATGAAATATGCAAGTTCTGTGGATAAAACTATGATAAAACTTTCAGATCTCATCTGAAATGGTGTGCCTACCTAAAGGCTGAGTAAGTTGTGTCAACTCAGTAAATTGGTACTCTGTTTCCAAAGTAATGTGTGCTGGAGTTGTGTGAAGGACACCGTAGCATAGAGTTCAGCATAATGAGCTCCAGCTATGAAGGCTTAGTTTCCAACCCTAGAGCAAACTTTGTGTTTTATTCTTGGGCTAGAAATCTCACTTTTGCAGTGCCACTCTTCTACCAAAAGACAGTATAAATAAGAATTGGCAAACTGTCGAGTAGACTTGGTAAAATACCAGGAGTAACTCTGCAATGGAGTGGCATTCTATCTGTGGAGATTGAAACCTACTCTGGGTGGTAATGGGCTGGGTGGTTTGTGAGCTTACTTTTAATTGCTATTTCTTTTTTTTACCCCCTAAGGTATTGTAGCTATCTTGCCAAGAAGTCTTCTGTTACTGTGCGCAATTGTCTGATCTTGGCTATATTGGTCATTTTTAATTTTGGTCTTCTGATAGTGGATCATATCCTTTGATACTTTCACCGCATCAGGAAAACAGAATAGTTGGGCGAATTGGATTAGTTAATCAAGAAAATAGTTTTTTAAAGGAGAATTTGCTTAATACGAAATGATTGAATTTGATCGCATTACATTTGGCCATAAAACTATTAAACTAACCAAAATTAGACAAAAATTTCAATGGCGGTAGTCATTACTAAGTTCAAAGCACTTTTGAAATTTTTGGGCATGGCTACAGTAGGGAATGTTTTGTCTACAACTTTTTTAAGATTTGCCAAAATTACCTCAATGTTGACCAAATATGGTATTAAAGTAACTAACTCAAAAGGATTCCTAAATTCCTTGACGTCTTTCAGACATTCATTTCCAATACAATGGGTTCTTGTTTGGCATTCTGCTTCTCTCTATAACAAAGTTGTCGCAGGTATATTTCATTGTTTTATTTTCTTCTCAGTGAAGGTGTGTTCACTGTATTTCCCTTAACTGTATCTTAATTTGACCCTTTGATCCCCCAGTTCTAATTATTAATTCTCCCCACTACATGCTACACATTTCCTTGTAAACTAGTTACAAGAATTTTTTATTTTGATTCCTCTCCTTTATTTGATAATTTTTTTTGAAGACGAAAAAGCAATTGCATTTATTGTAAAATTATGCTCTTGTGGTCCTTGAAAACCATGGTTGCATTTCAAGACCAAATCAACTAAAAAGAAAGGTACTGTTTGGAGCAGCATAAACTATAATAGCCCATCTAGGAGAGTCTTCCCCCTCTGGGTTTCAATACATATGTTACTTTTGTTTCTGACTGTGCTGAATAAAATCTGTACTTTTCATGAATTTGCTTGTAAATCCACAGCAACCTATGCCTCAATTAATGTGGGAAAAATTTTGCATGAATTGAAAGCATTGGAATCTTCTTTCTATGAAGACCACTTAAACAAAAAACTATTGCCAAGGGCCACCTTAGATAATTACTGACCAGCCCAACCTGAGGAAAATGCTAGTGTGGTTTTTAATTACAACTTTCAGTTTATGGCTCAATTTCAGCAAGTGTTCAAAAGTGAAACAAGAGCATTTAAATGATCTTTTATGCCCCTTTTAGGGACTTTTCCAAATTGAGAGTTTTAAGCGTAACCTTTCCACTTACATGTGGACGTGGTAAGAAATAGGGCTGCTTTTCAATTTGTCAGAATTCTGCTATTTCACTATGTTGTTAAAAATGTTTCACAGATGAAAATATAAAAGTGTTTGACATTGCTAGGAGATGAACTTTATTCATTTGTCTCATGTTGGAGTCTTTTTTTTAATGTTGATTGTGACATTTCAACTGCAATATTACAATCGACATGCAAAGTGACTCCATCTTGAGACAAACAAATAAAGTTCATCTCTTCTCTTACACCACGATGAATAATAACCACATATTTTATTACTAACAGTGTTTGACTTTATTCAGATCATTTGTTTTGGCTATAAAGTAAAGTTCAGGTGACTCATTTCAATCACATTTCAAATGCTTACACACATGGTAATTGATAATTTTAGGGATGTGCATTGGAAGGCTCTTTTTGGTTTGCAGTCCTGCTGAATTTCAAACACATCTTTCTCTACATTGCCCCAGCATACTTCATTTTCCTTTTGCGATCTTACTGTTTCCAACCATCTGCAGCTGAAAAGAAAGGTAAATTAAAAATATAAAATCACTTGACTGTAACGAGAACCCCTATTTTTACAAAAGCATAGCCAAATGAGAGGTCCTATGATGTATGTGATGTGCTTCATTATCAAGAAACCATTATGGAAATAAACCCTTTAACTCCCATGAGTAACCAAGAAAGAATTTCTCCTAACAAGGAAGACAAAGGAAGAAGAATATCGAAAAGGGAATTATTAGCTGATCCAATAACAAATTCTCTGCAGTAAAATTGTAAGAATTGCATGACAGACAGTAAGGAAAATTACTAATGAGGTCCTAGTGGTGAAATGGTTGAGACAGTTCAGCTTCCTCTAACTGCTTCCTTGTCATATTTATAGCCACACTTTTTTTTCCTAGTGTCTGGTTCAAGCATTCACTGTTATCTAAACCTTTCTGGAAGGGCCAGTTTTCCACAGTGCATTGGTCATGTATCTAAGGAATAAACTAAGAGTCAGTCTGCTTTGGCTTCACTTGAGCAGAGAGCCTTTGAGAGATTAACTTTGCTAGAATTTGAATGATAATTGGGGGAAAAGAAATGTCTCCAATGCTTACCAGGTGTCATGTTGGGAACCCTTCACTTAAATGGCTGCCTCTCTCAAAAGACATTTTTGGCTTAAATAAGGTGTTTGTTTTGACAGCAGTAAATGAAAACTAGACTTTCCCCCCAATACAAGTAAGGGACTACTGTAAAACTCCCTCTTGCAGGCCAACACCTACAGGTGAAGCCTAACTATACCCCTTTATTACCACCATTACTACTATATGATATGTATGATATATGATATATATGATATGATATATATAACAAATATAATATGATATATATAACAAATATAATATATGATATATATATCTATATATGATATATATATATTATATATTATATTATATTATATTATATTGTATTATATAATATGTAGTATATTACTACTTTATGAGGTTAGCTCTTGCTTTTCAAAACCAGAATTTTAGAATATAGTTGACTTGGCTGACAATCATTCTCTTTTTTAACTTTGCAGAGAAACAGTTGAGAATTTTTGGTGTAAATATTTGGGATTTTTCCCCTTTGAAGTTGATGAGACTTGGCATCATTGTGGTCTTTGTATTTGGTCTTTCATTTGGACCATTCATAGCCATGGTATGGTTTCTTATAACATATAGTTCAAAGTAGTGGTAATCTTCTAGTTCTACCAAGTTAGGTTGTTATGTAACATTTGCATGAACATGGGCTCACTGCGCACACCTAATTTGGAGCCTTGCTCTGTTGTGTGTCCTGCACCTTCCTCTCTTGTTCTTTTGACCTCTTCAAATGTATTCTTCTTCCAAGTCTTATTTTAGCATTGTGATCATGGAAAAAGCAATTAAGTGAATGCTCATAATTGGCTTACAATATAGTGATATCACATAAAGCCATGATCCTGGCAGATGAGCGGCAATTTTAGCAATTGCAGAAAAGAAGCAGTAACACTAGTGATACAGTGTCAATGGGAATCATGTTTTCTCATTCATTCTACAGAAACTGGAAAAAACTTGCACAATACAGTGCAGTATAGATGTTATCAAGTATTGTTTTTGGTTGATTCTTGAAAATAATGTAGGATTTGGTTGATGCACTTTACTTAGCTCTGTGATTTGTGAAGAAACTTCTTGCACCTTCTAAACCAATTTGATACAAATCTTGCACCAATCAAGATTTGTTTTCATTTTTCTTTGCTTCAGGCAGTTTGCTGTTTAAGTTTTTGAGTTCTCTCAATTCTTATGGACAACAATTTGCATAATTAGGTGCATATATTACATATAATACATTAACTCTCCTACATCACAAACAATATGTTACATACAAAATATTATAAATGATAAACTTCCTATGATTAATTTCTTACAAAAATTAATTGTGTTTTCTTTCAATGCCACTCTATGTTAACAGTGAATATTACCTAAACAGTGGTGATGGTGTTGGGCGGGGGATTGTAATATTTTTCATCTTAAAATTTAGGCTATGATGTGAAAAAATTTTTTAATCCCCTGCCCTCTAATGAAAAATTCCTTGATCTGCCCCAGCTTACTAAGTTAAATTATGTAGTAAATGCTCACAATTCTTACAGTACTCACAAGAAGTAGTGAACGTAGTTTATCACCAACAGGATTATCTACATTACAAATCTTTTTATGCTAAAAAAAAGTCTTCTTAAACTGGGTATGAAAAAATTTGAACATACAGGTTTAAAAAGGGACAGAAGAAACTGTCAGCTAGCTTTTTTGTAGTGTATGATATTTTTGAATTTTTTTTTTTATAGGGTCAATTACCTCAGGTGCTATCAAGACTTTTTCCTTTCAAACGAGGTTTATGCCATGCCTACTGGGCTCCAAATTTCTGGGCTTTGTACAATGCACTGGACAAGGCTATTGCTATTTTTGGTAAGGTGTAAATGACTTAATCCTTCAACTTCTAGAAGTGATTAAAATGTAACTTCTCCTTTAATATCCATACATCATCCAGCAAACAGGTAATGAGAGTACTCAAACTCATCAGGTACAAGTTTTAATCTTGATCTGACATCAAATTCTCATAAATTATTTCCAAGGAAATGTGCCGCAGCTAGGGGAGAATTATTAATCAGATCATGGGAGTTGAATGGTTTACAACAAGTTCAAAATCAATACATTATTCCAGCTGAGTCTCAAATATTGTGTGTGGTACTCTGCCATTTGGCACAAAAATTTTGCAGGGTTTGGTTTAGTATTTTTGGAGATCTAAAGGCTTTGTTCTTCAGTTACAAAATAATATAAATTCCACAGGAAATGAATCCATCAAAACAAAATGCTGCAAAATTTGCTTTTGAATATTTTGGTCTGTTGAGGAACTTGAGGGAATGGGGCTCCAGCCAAGCAGGGGACAGGAAAATTGTTTTCTGTGGTTTCATTGTTGTGTGGCACTGTTTTGGTATTATGTTCTAAGAGTTAAGAAGCTCAGATATGAGATTGAAAAATTCAGTTGGATGTTTCCATGTGCTGAAACTCAATGAGTTAAGAAAGTCAAAAATATTACCAGACATTTCCTTGTTATTGTTTTTTTTGGTTATCTTGAATCACTTAAAAGTGCCTCTGCAAAACCCAAAAATTGACAATCCCCAGAATAAAACTACTACACAATTTTCATGTTACATGATTGCCACGGTTTAGATAGCTTAAAGTTTTTCACAATTTGTATTACTGAATTTTACCTCAAATTAATTGTGTGATTCTGCCCATCCAGAGCTGTTCATTTGTTTGCTGAATCAGCCAATAGTAAAGTTGTGTTTGGCGCAAGTCAGAAGAAAATCTAGCATTTGATTGTACTGTCAGCTTCTAGATAACATGACATACAGTTGACAAAACTTGATAAAATCACTGGGAAAAAACCTTTATCACCACCAAAAGAATTGCCTTAGATTTTTACCAAAACCATCAATAGGCTCTTAATCAGTTGCAAACAGAAATCTTAGGTTACATATTTAGCAATATTTTGGATGAATTTGTGCAAATTTATAGGATTGACAAACTTGATAAAATCATGGAAAAAAACCTTTATCAGCAAAAGAATTGCTTTAGAGTTTTACCAAAACCATTAATAGGCTCTTAATTGCAAACAGAAATCTTAGGTTACATTTTTAGTAATGTTTTGGATAAATTTTAAAACAATTATTAGAGAGCCAGTAATGCTCCTTGCAATCAACAAAACAGAATGTTTCCATCAGAGCATTATCACTCACACAGTAGAAGACTTAAAATTGGTAGTCAATGTATGAAAACAATAAATTATATTTTTGTGCCATTTTAGGTTCAAAAGCAGGAATCTTGCCCAAAGATGCCATGAAAAGTAAAGCCTCCATGACAGGTGGTTTGGTTGGTCAGTCTGAGCACTTGATTCTTCCATCAGTTCCTCCAGTTGTCACAATGATCCTAACACTTTTTTCTGTGATGGTGAGTTGACAGGGACCAGTCAGTTTTTATTGCGGGAGGGGGGGGGTTTAGGAGGATTTTGGTTTTGTCACAATAAAATGTACCTGTTACCACCCCCCCTTCTAATTGGCAGTCAATTTTCTGTATTCCCCCTTTTACACTCTCTTCTTCTTGGAAATGTAGCGACTATGTAAGGATATGTTTTTTTTTTCTAGTCACATCTGGGAGGGAAGGGGTTAAAAGATGAAGGCAATTGTTAGTCACAACAAAGAAAATTTTCCCTAGGAGTTGACAGAGCGCTCGGTTGAGTGTTGTAAAACTGAAGCCGAAGTAAGCTCTATGGCAAATCAGAAGAAAGTGAAATGCCTTGAAAAGCCAATGGGAACTCAGAACAAAAACAATCGAACTGCCTAAAGCGCGGGAAAACGCGGGCGACCAAGTCGTGATCGGTTTTAGTTTTGTTTCCGATTGGTTAAGAGAGTGGTGCGAGTTTTCTGGACCAATCACAGAGCGAAGTAAAGCAAAACCAGTGTTATCTTAAATTACTTTCGACACTCAATTGAAAACTGCTCCAAAGTTATAACAAGTCAATCACTGGAAGCGCGGGAAAACGCGGGTAATCAAGTCAAAATTGGGTGTAGTTTTAATTCTGATTGGTAGAGAGGGTGTTGCGAGTTTATTTTTTTTTGTGACCAATCACAGAGCTAGTTAAAGAAAAACAAAATCATTGGTTTCTTTCGATACTCAATTGAAAGTTGCGTTTTCTCTTTCAGCCTGCTCTATGGCATGTGTGGTTTAGGCCATCAGGCATCACTGGATTTCTCCGCTGTCTCGTTCTTTGTGCCTTTGGTTCCTTCTTGTTCGGTTGGCATGTGCACGAAAAGGCCATCCTGATGGTTATTGTTCCTCTCAGGTATAAAGTTCTGTAAATGTTTTATTTACATCGTTGTAATGGTAGATCTATTTTGCAAATCACGCAGTGCTTTTCCAACCAAATTCCAATGATGAATTGGAAACCATTGCGCGTGAAAACCCGCGAAAATTTGCTTTGCTCCCAACTGTGGCTTCTTAGCTCAGTTGAAAGTAGCGCCATCGGTCTTCAGGGAGCGTGGGTTCGAATACTGAGGAAGCCTGAATTTCAAGCCTTACTTTAATTAATAGTATTCTAATCCATGTTTATCTCATTATTGTTATGCGTAGTCAGTATAAATTCGAAGAACTTGTCTCACAAGGCAGTTTGACTTCCCTGCTATACTCTCTGCTTAGAGATGGCTCCTCGTGAAATATAACGTGATTTTAAACGTCTTTGGTTTTTTTTGTCTGTTTGTTTGTTAATTGGTTTTCAGCTTAATGGCTGTTGTTGAAAGACGACCTGCACGGGTTTTTCTATTGCTGAGCACAACAGGCCATCTCTCACTGTTTCCTTTGCTGTTCCAGTCACAAGGTAAAGGTGTTCCCCTTGTTCATACATAGAGGAATATACGACGGTTCGCTTGTACTGTTTTGATCACTCAAATGAAACTAACAAAAGTCTCTCAAGTGAAATTTAATCCATGTTTATCTCCCGAAATGAAGGTTATTAGTCTATGTGAGCGAGGCTTTTGTATGAGTGACATAACATAAAAATGACATAAAATGGTGTTGTTTTTTTTTTATCTTTCTTTTTTTCGGTTATAAAACTCCTATTCTATGGAACGAATATTAAGGGGTTCACCTTTATTCAGCGGTCACTTTCATTCCCTTTGGGTGACCGCTTAATACAGGTTCGACTGAAATCTGATTATAATTGTTTCATTTGCTTTTCGCTTTCAGAAACTCCCATTAAAGTCTTTCTCATGCTGATGTTTACAATTTTCTCGTTCTACTCACTATGTCTTGTTCACTGGTAAGTGAAAACCTGTTTCACGCTTTTCAGTGTGATATGATAAAGAATAAGGAACTTGCAGATCAAATGTTCGTTCGGTTTCGAGTGCTTTATACGCGTCTTCAGTTAACTTTTACTATGTAAACAGCTTCTGAAAATACTTCAGTTTTTGAACAGTAAGTTCATGAAAGGAATAAAGCACCAAGAATTCTAATTTGTTGGAGATGAAGGATAATGATTAGGTTTATATATTTTTCTCTGTTTTCAGAATTTTTTGACAATGTGTTAAAGAAATTTATCGTGGGCTTAAGACACGCCCAAAGAATTTATTAATGTTTTTTTTTTTATTATTTCAAAGTAGTAAGTTATTGGTTTTATCAGTATTGTTATGACGTCAGTATATATATATATATATATATATATATATATATATATATTTATATTTATATATTTATTTATATATTTATATGACATGTAGTATGTCTGGATTTACACTCAATATCGTGGGTAATGCTACAGTTTTCTACCGTAGTAATACCGCTCACAGGCGTTCATTGTGAACTGAATTTTCTCGCGCTCACTAAAATACAAACGGCTTGAGCTTGCGTTTGCGGGAAAAAAATCAAACGAGGTTTAAAGGTTGATTTGTATTGTTACATAATTTTACTGATTTGCATGGCACGGGTCGGATAAAAAGGTGAATAAGGTTTAGCCTTTCCGTCGATGCAAACCGTCCATTCTCTCACACAATTTTATTTTACAGTAAAGCGCATGTTCGTCAACGTATAAGCCTGCGTATTTTGTGTTTTTATGTGTGCTTCAAGGTGATAAGAGGCAAAGTTGCTAACGGGAATATTAAATTCCATTACAAACCTCTCGCAGCTTCGTCTCTCATTTACACTGATCCTTCGCTGGAAGCTCAAAGTGCACACAAAAGCGCCAGTAATGCCGGCTTTCAACTATTGAAGAATCACGCAAAATTTGCGATACAATTAAACTTTCTGAAATCTTTATCTTTGTTTTCTTCAGTGGGGAATCTTCCGAAACGTCCATATCGGATCTGTTCAAATTACCCATTGTTGAGTGGTACGAAGCGTGTTACTTGTATGGTTTAGTTGTCTTGGAACTCTACTGCAGTGCCATTCATCCTTTTACTGTGCTTGCCGTTAAGCTGCCTTTTTTACCGCTCATGCTTACGTCGGTGTATTGTGCCGTGGGTGTGATTTGGGCGTGGATCTTATTTTACGTGGACACTCTGACGAGCTCGCTGATTAATAGGGCAGCGGTGTCAACTATAAGAGAAACTGTGGTTGGAAAACAGTCTGCCAAGAAGAAACAGTGAAATGCCCCTTTGGACGAAGGTCAAGAGATTCTACAGATAAATTATAGTAGGCTAGTTTAAGAAAGTTTTTTGTCTCAAAACTTTGGGTTTTGAATCCCTTTCAAACTAAATTTTAATACGGTGTTCTGGTAATCACTTTGGATTAGGATAAGATTGCTCGAAATATATGACTCTCCTAAATGTTATGTTGAACTCGCATGTCAAGTGTTCTTGTGACAAGCGTTCTTAGCTCTGAAAATCTTCAAATGGGTAAAATAGAAACCAGCACAGATTGCCTTAAGTCTTTTTTTTTTCTCTGACGAATGTAGATGAAAGGCGAACGCATATTTGACATTCGAACAGGAAGAGATTGGGTCGAGACCACTCAAATAAAACTAGAAATAGTCCACAGGCTGGATTTCTTCTTGGCCTCTCGTCCCAGTCTTTTATCTTCCTTATCTCTTCAGGATCTCGCCCTAACTTCATTTCGCCTTATAGGCTTTCACTCAGTATTGAGAGAATATCGACATACTGCCAGAAACCTACAAACAAGAGCAAAAATAACACTTCCTGTCTACCTCTGTGACCGAAATGATAGGGGAAGAACGTGTAATTAAAAATTTATAAAGATAAGACCCAAAAATTTGCGCGGGGGTAGAATATTAAGATGTCACAGTTTAGCTCTTACTTCCTATTGGGTCAAAGTCTAACTTAGGAATCCACTGAGATTATGCCTCAGTCTTCCTCCCCTGCCATGTGTTCTCTGAAGTTAAGCATGTTGTACAGAGAAAGTATCTATTGTCGGGTACCCTTGTGGTATATATCTCCTCAAAAAGAAAATTGGGAACCTCGAGATCCTATACTTTGGACGCATGCTCATGAAATTTAGCAGATTTACCAAACTAGGCATGAGTAACCTTAGGCAGTGTAAAATTGGTTTCATAGAATATCCAGTTTCGTGACCTGCTGATGAATCATTTCAACAGGAGGGCGCTTAGAAAAATTCTGTGCGTTGAAAACCTCTTTTGTTGTTGTTGTTTTTTCTTTTTTACATTTTTGAACAACCAACTCCTCATGTACTGCCTCAAATCCATCACGGAAAGAATGTTCAGAGGTTTTCCTGTGCCATCAAACCCTGCAGAGGCCTTTTGAGTCCTTCCACTTTTGAGGAAGGAGGGCATGCATCTGGTTATGGACCCACGTTTCAAACGAGTGAAACTGTAATTTGTTTAATCACAATTAGCATAAATTAATATTTTGCCGATACGCATTTGAGGACTGGTGTGAGGCAAGTGTGAGGTGCGTGGAGAGTTATGGGATCGTAGTTTGTAGTTTGAGGTCGTTAGTAGGGCGAGGAAATCTGCGGTCAGTCTTCACCGTTTAAATTTATTAAGTTTTTTTTTTTTTTTCCTGAAATATCGTCATGTTCAAATGAGCTTTTACTTAGGGTTTTACTCGCATACCTCTTTAAGTAACTGTTCTCCACTTGTGTACATCATGATGTTATCATGATAGGATCATAGGATGCCCTAAAACCCCGAGGATGGCACCATTACCTTGGTTGGGGGTACGCGTTCCCCGCTTTTGCCACCTGCGGATTTTTAAGGGTTAACGCGTCTGGCTTTGGTTCATTTAGTTTCCATCAGTCGCAATAACCTTTTTCAAGCATATTGGTGTTAAATATACGGTACTGCGGCTTGGCTGACCAACGCACCCAGATATCAACACTGTGTGCCCAGTTGAGTTGTGGAGATAAAATAGGCACTTTGTTTTTTGTTACTTTTGTTTACGATAAATAAAATCGGGAAAGCGTGACATGGATGTTGCGTGATGCATCGTCATGCTGCTGTTTTTCTTCTCTTTCTTTGTGGTCGGGGGGGGGAGGAGGAGGGAGAAAGCCGTAATCGTTACCTTACGCATGTATCAAGCGTGTAATCGGAATTTAATAGGACGATATGAAGCTTTAACCGTAGTTCTTGAGCGCGGGACGAGAGAGAAGTAAAGGACTACTCACTGCCTTATTGTTTGTGTTCCAGACGGTATTTCCGTCACTTGGGACAAACAAAACAATACCTTATTTGTACACCGGTCGACAAGATATGTTTAACACATTTGACATTAATCTCTCTCTGATATTGCATCTTGAATTATCTGAATAGAAGGTTTTATGCAAATAAAACTTTTTTAATTCCTAGAATAATCCCAATAAACTACATCTGTGTTGTTCGCGTCAATGAGAGATTTTTGTTGAAAACTCCGATTCAAAAGTTGTTTTCAATATGCGATTAACAGATTTTTTTTCGCCATATCGATAACTTCCGGAGGCTTATACCACAAGTAGGTTGTTTTGAATCTCCTTTAATGTTACCTCTTGGTCAAATTTTTACTCAATCGTCATTTTATGTTGAATAACAACCTTTTCAAATATTGCATCTTTAATTAACTCAATAGACGGCTTTCTACAAATAATATTTTTCAATTTCTTGAATAAACCCTGCGAAAAACACCTGTATGGCTCTTATTAATTAGTAAACTTAAAAACCCGAATGTTATGGGTTTTAATGAAAACATCGATTCGAGTTTTTTTTCTTTCTTTTTTCAGAGTATTGAAATCCTCATATCACTTACTTGAGGAGGTTTGAACCGCGAATCGACTTCTTTAACTTGTCAAGTATAGTTTTTATTCGGGCCTTTTTTCAGCTCTGAACAATAATGAATTTTATCAATTCGCAATATACATTTTTTTTTGTCTCTCAAAGCCTGTCTGCGAAAACACTTTTTTGGCTGATCCTAGTTTCTACGGGTTGAAACGATGGAAGAATAACTATCCATTTTGTATTGTTTTGGTTTCCTAGAAACGTCTTTTCCTGTCATGAGTGCATTGGTAAATATTGTCGCGACATTTGCGAAAAGTCAGAGACATATTCATCGCTGTTTTTCATGGATATAACACTCGCAAACTTCTACATTTTTGAATGATTTGAGCTGTTTCTGTACACTTTTTTTGAATATTCATGGTTTTTGAAACTTATAAGATTTAAGGGAGGGAGTAGGTTTCTGGATTTCTGCCTGTCATGATCGTTTCTAAGCAACAATGTATACAAAATAAATTTAAAATTCATTTCGCTATCTGAGTGGTTTGAATCCATACAATCTTTCCCCTCGAGACAACGAAATTGGTTTCAAGACGGGATTGCATAACGCCCGCATTTTCGAAAAGTCACGACATTTGACTGGCTATATTCGCGCCGATCTGACAAGTATCTGGTTTTGTTTCCTGAAAAGTTAGTCATCAACGACATTGCACATGATATCTGACAGTTTTCGTCACACGATTGTTAAGTGACATCTCGAGAAGAACTGCTCGAGGTATAGAGCGTCCTTTGCTTATTGAATCTTACCAAAGATTTGGTAAATATGAGGCAATAGCTTTCGTTTTTCTGGTGTCCATTTCGAACGCCGATTGTTTGGAATGTTTTCCCGCTTCTGTACGTCATTCTCCCGCCAAATGTTACGGTAAACCATGGAACTCCATCTTGAGTAACTCTCTAATGTCTTGTGGCAAACATGATTGCTCATAAAATCCTCTCGACATTATCCTTGGTTTTCGCTAGCTATGGCAAAATAAGTTACCTATGTGGCGAAATGAATAGATTGCGTTCAGCCTTGGGCGAAAATTCCACATAAAAATCGAGATCAACGAGCGTATTTTAATATGGGATGTGGTGTATCGGTGGAAAATGGAGATGATTTGAGCGTAGCATTGGGAAAGTCGGAAAAAGGTGAGTTAAATTTGCTTACGAATATTTTTTCTTATCATTTAGCACTGGCGCATTTACAACAAAGTTAAGACAGAGTTGTGTGATCTTCGTGAAGAGATAAGCTTGATCAACAGTACGCGCAAATTGTATCGCTACAGTGTAGCAGTATGTGATCTAACTTATACTTTTCAGACGGTTTTCCTAACAAATATTGCTTCATGTGTGTCACGCAGTGCTGTGGATATTTGAATCCGCATTATTTTATTACAATGACTTGCAGGATTAAGACAGCATTCTCAATATAATGGTTTTATTTACATTCCTTCTCCCTGTTTACGTTTTTTTTCTCCAATTTCTATCTCCATTGTGGATTTTTTATTTTGCTTTCAGCCATACGTTCGGCGATCTTAATTCAGAAATGGTTCAGACGATATCAGGCTCGCATCGAAGCCCGACGAAGGTGTACTTGGAAGATTTTCCAAAGCGTCGAATATGCTGGTGAACAAGATCAGTTGAAGGTATAAGTCTGTCAAGTTTAAAATTTTATGAACGATCTGAAACCATTGCGATCGATTAGCCAAAGATTACTCGCAA